GCTCTTCCCCGGCAGCTACATCTAAGATGGCAGCCCTATCACGGCGGATAGGAGACCTTAGGCCAACCACCAACTGTCTCTGAAACCTTTACAATTGTTACAGAAACCAACAGAGAAAGACATCGCTGTACATCTTTTAAAAGAGCGAGAGAACAGTATTAGTTGTCACTTTCATACCAATGCAAATCTAGCTCAGCGTTGCCATATATACCGATTTATCGGTATTTATACCTATTTCCGAACTTGATACCGATATACAGAAAAAGGTTTCTCAGAATACCGATTCTTGAAAGTTTATACCGATTTACACCGATTTTTTTTATAATCAAAATGATCATTGCCTGCTCGTGCTGAACTGTCAGAGGAAACTATTGTGAGAGACTTTTATCTTTTCGAATATCTCAAATTATTTAGTCTGCTCAAAAATTACTCATCTTTAAAAATGTCTTATGCTTGATCCTCTTTCGACTATTGTTTCTATTTCCTCTCAATTCTTGGCTACTCAGGAATTGAAAAAAAGCTGATGGATCATCCCAGCCATACCTGGGAATTGGGAAATACTTTTATTCAGTGAATAAATAGATCGATTAAAATGTCAGTTATTTAACTTCCTGAAGGATACTTAATCTCCCTAGGAAGTTTCATCCAACTTTCCCCTGGTATTTTCTTCCTCCTTACCCCGTAAGTTATTTTCCGATTCTTAGCGGAAAGTTACATCGACTTCCCTTGGAGGCTTAATTCAAAAGGTTCTTCCGTCTTCTCCCGTCGGCTTTTTCAACTTTCCCGGAACTTCAGTATGCTTCCAGCATTTTAATGCGGTTCCATTAGCTTCAAGAAAACTGCAGGAACTTTTAAGAAGTTCTTAAGGGGGGAGTACATTTTGATTTTTCAAAAAAATGCATTTTCTCGAAACGGGGTTTTTCAAACTGGCGTGGGAAATAACTCTAACCAGTTATCATCAAATTTGGATATCGCCTAGGTTTTCTTGTTCAGAATTAAATTGCTTAGAAATACGTATCCACATTTTCGATTTTGTCAAAAATGGATTTTCAATCCACGATTTTGTAAGCATTTTTAGGGTGAAAAAATGAACTTTTTTTTACTAAGGCCACAACTTTTGAAAAAAATAATATAAAAAAATCGGAATACGTATTTCTAGCCCAAATTTCATTACTAATCAGGATTTTTGTTCGATTTATGCTCCAGGATCACATGTAAAGGAGTATTTTCCCACGCCGTTTTCCGACTTCCGCGCGAGCCACGGGGAGACACCAATCGAGTTCAAAAAAATACAAATTATAGTTCGAAGGATGACTAATAAATGGGTTGTAACATATTTGTCCTCCCTGAGTGTTTTATTGCTTAAAAAAATTAACGAAAATGCCTTACTTTTTGGACGTTCAAAGTGTACTACCCCCTTAAAGTTCAGAAAAGTTCAGACTTTTGGGTAAGCTTTAATAGCTGTAAGGGTAATCTCCGATACATTTAAGCCAGCTTCAATAACTTCTGTTCAAGTTCAAACATCCGGGAATTTCAGGAAAGTTAACAGAACTCCAATGAGCTTAAGAAAATATCAGTAATATTTTGGAATTTCAAGTCCAAAGAACTTCAGGAAAATTTGATGGTTTTCAGGACAGTTTCATTCGTCTCGGGTAGATTCAGAACATCGGAACAGATTGATTAATTTCAAAGAAAACTCTCGGGGAATTTTAGAAAACTTCAGCAATGCTCCGAGAGGTTCATGAAAATTTTAGAAACGTAATAGAAGTAACATGATCATTAGAAAAAAAAAGAATAAAGAAAACTTTAGGGAAAGTTTGAAGGAGACCTTCACAGAAGATTTGTGATTTCCAGAAGTTTCATTATAATCAGGAAAGTTTCAGGTACTTCTAGGCAAGGTTGCAAATACTCATTTCAGCTCAAATAATGTTTTTCGGAATAATTAAACTAAAAGATGGTATGATGGCATGTTTTACTTGTAACTTACAAGAAGAGGTTACAAAGTATGCGTTTGAAACATAAAACCTGTTAATTTTGCTTTCTACGAGTCACAATCAGCGATTTTCTGATCGCTGAGTGAGTGCGTCAGTGAGTGAGTGAGTGTGTGAAAAATCGCTGATTGTGACTCTCATGAATTGAAATAAACAGGTTTAATATGTCAAACACATTCTTTGCAACCTCTTCTTGTATCCTGCCAATTCAAAATATGATCATGGCATCTAATAATTTCATAATTAATAAAAACATTGTTTTAGCTGAAATGAGAATTTGCAACCTTGCTTCTAGGATGATCAGAGAACTACAAATAAGCACCATTAACTTCAGGAAAATTGCAAGAACTTTCAAAAAGTTCCGAGGAATTATGGGATATTCCGAAGTGCTTTTTTATGAATTACAGAAAAATTGCTGGATCATTAGAACATGTACGAAACTTCAGGAAATTTTGTGCTAACATCCCCAAGCAATCTCTTTTTTAGAATTTTTGATTAACTTTGCCTTGAATTTGCTTTTGACTGTTCCGTAAGCCATCTGGCCTCCAGTTTTCTCCAGAAGTTTCTCCCAATTTCAATTTCTCCATGAGATTTATTCCGCCTTTGCCAGGAAGGTCAATTAAACTTCTACCAAATTTATCTATAGAATTCTCCTAGAAGTTTCTTTCGTCTTCCTTTGGAAGTTTCTTCATTAGTCATTCTCCGAAGGTGTGTTTTCCTACATCTATTGGAAGGATTTTCTGAGCTGAAAATGGCTACTTCTGGAATATGTCTCCGATTTCTGAAGCTTTTCTGGTTTCCTCTGGATGTGTCATCCGACTTCTTCCTTGGAAGCTCCCCGGATGTCTTTCCGACTTTACTTAGAACTTTCTTCAAACTTCCTCCAGAATAGCTTATTTATTCATTCACTGGAAGTTTTTTCGGCTTTCTTCAGAAGCTATTTCAAACATTCCCTGGAAATTTCTACCGACTTCTTCTGATGAGCAAATTTTCCGTTTTTATTCCAAAAGTTTGAATTTCCGCCTTCAAAATAGTGTTTATTTTCTAATTTAATTATTCTTATTTAACTGAAATAGTAAATACAGATAAATACCGTGTTTTTAACATTTGATACCGATACATCGATACAATCTGGCATCGCTGATCTAGCTCCACTCCACTCATGCAAGCTCAGGCCTGATTACACCTTAAAGGTGTATTCAGATCTGAGCGTGTATTAGCAGAGCAGAGCAAATTTTGCGTTGGAATGAGAGAGACAACTATTACTTCTCTCGCTCTGGTACCTTCGCAAAATCTTGCCACGCGCGTGAAATATCGCTCAGGACGGAATTCACGGTGGTTTCTCAAACTTCAAAAATCGTTACTCAAAAATTGAGTAAAATTAACTTAAAAGCTTCTAATTTCATCAAAATAAACACGTTGTGACATTCTGCATACGAAATTTATTGCCGTAGCTTTTATTCACTTTTGATATCCGCCACATTTCGCAAGAAAACTTCCATTTCATTCGCGAACAAAGAAATCGAACAAATCGCTGCCTTGAAAGCATCGAATCGAATCATTTCATTTTGTTATTAGTGTAATGCTTCAGGGGCAACCATTCCGAGAAGACTTCGCCCCCCCCCCCTCTTCCACACCTGAAAAAGGTAAAAATGAAGAAGAGTCGAAAAATGGAAAGACCATCAACCAAAACACTGCTGGTGTTGGTGGCCCTCCAACGGCCCCATTCGCGTAAGGCTTCTACACGAGTCTCAGAAGAAGGTAGAATGAAGCTCAAGAAAATGATTAAAAAAGTTTTCCACTTCACCGATTCATCAACAGCCATCGACCGCGCGGTGGAGCAAAAAAAAAAGCAAATCCCAACCCAGACCCTGACCTGTCCGTATAGGATTCCGGCAAATGGTTCCCGGTTTTACTTGGGCAAAAGTTTCTCGCTACCGGATAAACAAACTTCACCAACCAAAATAATCGAAATCTAAATTAACTTCATTCGGAAGAAGCAACTACCAACCACCACCACCACCGACGCTATTTGCGGTGTTAATCCTTGATATGAAGAGGTGAGATGTGGAACTACACTGCGACTAACTGCGAAAATGGGAATGTCTCTTTTTTTTATTTTGGCTTCGACATTGTGAAGTAAGTTCCTGTATTCTTCTTTGTTTCAGTTTTAGTATCTATCTATCCCCGCCGTTCAACTACATACTCGGGGATCAACTACCTTTTGCTTGAGTATACTTTTACTACCGGTTCTTCAAACTACGTGGCGTTGCAGTCTTTCCAGTTACGAGTTTTGTTCATTGGTTCTTTGCTTTTGCAAACCGAAATTCATTCTACTCTAGTAAGGAAAATTCAAACCTAACAGACTGTGTGTGAGTTCTACTCAGGGTAACACAAAACCTAGTCGTTTACTGATATGAGTGGGTGGGTATCTATAAACTAATTGGAATCCACATCTTTACTGGGGTCTTTGGACTTGAATGATGGTGGTAGTTGGTGGTCAGAGACCAAGAGCCGCTGCCTGCAGGGGATAGAGTGCGGACAGGTCAATGCCCTGCGAGGCTGCGAGGAGTTCTCCAATGGGATAGGTTAGGGTAGCGGTGGCTCGTTGCTGGTTGTGGACAACCTGCGGATGATGTCTCATGGATGCGGCCGCAGCATTTGCTGCAATCAACCGCTTGTATGTTAGATCCAACAGGGACTGCGAGTTGGCATACTGAATGATCGAAGGGGAACCGGCTGCTGCCGAGAGGGGCAGAATGTGGGTGGTGGTTGCTGCAGCAGCGGCGGCAGCGGCTGCAGCTGCCGCCGCTTGCTGGTTCGTGATCGTAGCGGGCAATGGGTAAGGAGCATAGCGTAACGAGGCTGCTGCGGCCGCTGCGGCAGCTCCATGTGCGGCGACGTTGGCATTGGATGGGCCCGGCCCGATGCCACCGGTGGCGCTGGACAGGGCACTGGCGGCGGAGGCCGCATTGGACGGACCGGGACCACTATATACTACAAACTCACCGTATGTCCCACGTCCGGCGGTGCGCGTTTTCGCCAGGTTCGCTGGAAGCATCACTTCTTTGGGCTGGGCTTTTTTGCATTCGACCTGTTTTGGAAGGGGGGTTGAAGAGAAATTTTAGTACTTAGGAAATGTTATAATATGTATTTAGGTAGCAGACAGTGGGTTTTGAGCAAACAGTCCTGATTTGCAGGATCAGACTGCTATAATTCAAACCCAAGTAACATTGCAGGTTTTATTGAAGATTTGAAGCACTCTTCAGGCATGCTCCATAGTCTTCAAGAGCGTGATAAAACCAACAATGTTACTTGGAAATACTTCTTCTAAGGAAGACCGGATAGACAGTAATTATTGGATATTTAAAAAAAAGCAATTCCCTTTAGTCCATAATTAAATTCCTCTGACTGGTTTTTGTAGCTGTCCAGATAGTGATGCAGCCGAATAGAAAACATCAGAAAACGAGAGTTAATTTAATTTATTTAAAAATTCCAGGCAATTTGTTTATTAGAAATATGATTTTTGAACCAAGATGACATTTGATCGATGGTTTCAAGGCTTTGAACACTATTAGTAAACTATCAATCATTGACTTCAACAAGGAAATCTGGTAGTTAGTTCATAAAGGCTGACTAAAAGTAAATTGGTATGCCCCTCGCGCGCCGCCAGCACGCCGGGAATCTAAAATCTTTGACAATGGTTTGTTTAAACGTTTATAGAGAACAACTGGTGCAAGTTTGATCAAAGTAGTCGATCGCGTTCAAAAATAACGTCAAATGGAACTCGAAAGAAGAAAAAATATTGTACACAAACACCTGACGGATTTCACGCCAACTCATCCAGTGGTTGGCAGCACCCTCTCAGAACCTTATGGAACTTTGTGGGTGTGGAGACTTAGCAATTTTAAGCAACTTTGCGTACTTATTTTTTTCAAAATTTATCTCGCCTAACATTTGATAAGGGTCAAAGTTTTTTGTCGATTTTTTTTTCAAATCGATATAGCTTAAAAATGACAAGCCCTACAAAAAAGTGATGTATGGCGAACTTTTATCAAATAATCTGAAATTTTATAAAAAAATTTAAATAAAATAAAAAATTGGTTTCTACACTCTAAAAAAATATATTTAAAAATTAAAAGTCATTTTCCCAAAAATGGTACCCCTCAGATTTGCTTGATATTTTTTCTCATGAAAGGCAATATAATTACCTAACTTTTCTTCATACATCGCAAAGTGGGCGCTTTTAAGGAAAAAAAGTTGTTCGAACAACAACTTTTTCATGTTAATTTTTTTTAGCGTGTTTCACTCAAAGTCGAATAGTAATACGCGCACAACCTTATTAAAATTCGATTAAACTTTATGGGTATACTTTTCGATAATCTGGGCGAAATCTAGCCTAACATTTGAAAAGGGTACAGAGAAGTTACCTGCAAATCGTCCAATAAGAGTTCAGAACAAAACGTTCTAATGAGGAACAGCCATCTCAGCATGGTTTGCACTTTCCTGTGATGGATTGTATTATAATATATGCATACACTCTATCCAACTTCTATAAAACCACCCTCAAATTGTTCCAAATCAACAGGTAAACTAAGTAAAAATCACTTAGTATGTTTTATTCATGAAAAGATTTCAATTCATGTATTTGTGATTAATTTAATTAGAAAAATAATCATTCATTTATTTTTATGTATTAGGTGTGTCCATTAGTAAGCAATATGCATATATGTTTATACCTCATCTCTCAAGTGAATACATATAATAGCGCAGGTAACTTAACGATTATTTAAGGCATGCCTAAAATAATCGTTAAGTTACCTGCTATATAGCAGTTATATAACAACGCATGTAGTCACATGAGAGATATAAGGTATAAACTTAAAGCACCGCAGTCTGTTTCTACCGACATAATCTAATATTTAAGTTTGGTGATATCACAACAATGCTCATAGTTGCTGTAGTGCATAGTTGTTGAAAGTGTAGTGCTGCATAGTTGTTGAAACGAAAAAGTGTTTATATATACAACAATGGAAAAATCTGCTGAATTGATTATTAAAAGGGTGCAATGTAGTGCCAACATAAACAATCCCAATTGCAGCCGCAATAATTTACGTAATTTATCATCAAGTCTCATAAAGAAAATACATTCATGGGGCTTTGATCATCAATTGGATGTAACAATGCGTATTTGTGAATCGTGTCGTGGAATTTTAGTGCACAATAGGACACCAATAGGATGGAAAAGAATCAAGCCATGCTCGGAAGTTTGAAGAGCCGCAACCATCAACAAGTCATCAGCAATCAGAACATCAGGAATTTGATGATACACTAGGTAAATAATAATAACTTTAACTGTTTCAACTGTGTGGTTTAAGGATTGTACATCGAAGATACAACTTCATTTTCAACATTTTTTTAGAGCACGAGCTGGATGAACCGCTTATCGTACAAATTTGATCGATTGGTAGGCCAACCTCGGTGAACAATCTATCAAATTTTCACGACTGTACGATATGCGGTTTATGCAGCTCGTGCTCCACAAACATGGGGAAAATTCAGATGCGGCTTCGATGTACCGTAAACGGGGATGTCTTTGATAATGGAGGTAACTTTGATAATGCAGCTAATCCAAAAAGTTATGACTTAATGCTCTTCGTATTCATTATTTTGGAAGGGAACATCGGTTTCCTATCCAAAATATTGCGTACGATGTGCCTTAAGTCATAAATTTTTGACTTAGCTGCATTACTAAAGTTACCCCTATTATCAAAACCACCCCCGTTCATGGTACTATCACCTTAACAGCGTTATATATTAATGTGTGGTAATATTTTTTTTTCTTTTCTTTAATTTTACAGATACAGATCCATCGCTAGAATCAATCCCATCAGCGGATCAGATCCAAGGTCCATATAATGTGGAACAATTCAATTGTATAGCTTCAACCTTACAGTTATCACCAATTTCATCGAGAAGTATGAGAAGTATGAATTATCGTGTTCAAAAATCTGCAGAGATCACAAAGGCAGTGCGTAAAAATATATTTGGGATGGATTCAGACGATGTCAACAAATCAAATGATTTTGACGAAATGATCATGCAGTTAAAGGAGAAATTTAATTTGCCTTCTACGAGTACAAATGACAAATTAAAAGTGTTATCAGTGCTCCCTAAATCATGGTCAGTGAATCAAATAGTTAATGAGTTTAATGCACCCCATCATACAGTGAAACAGATGAAAAGGCTAGTCAGAGAACAAGGTATTCTTTGTAGTAAGAAAGCAAGAAGTGGTCATGGATTTAATGATACTGAAAAACAAATTGTTTTAAATTTCTTTGACAGTGATGATATTAGTAGGCCTATGCCAGGAAGTAATGATTATGTTTCTGAATATCGAAATGGATATAAAGAGCATGTTCAGAAACGTTTATTGATGATGTCTCTTAAAGAGGCTTTTATGATTTTTGAAGAGAAATACAAAAGTGTTAAAATCGGATTTACTTCGTTCACTCAGCTCCGACCAAAGCATTGCATAATGTATGTGTCTGTACTATACATGAAAATGTTAAATTGATTATTAATAGTGTAAAATTTGATTCATATAAAGAAATTGCAGACAAAATACTTTGCAGTAGTCCTATTAGAACCATAGATTGTTTTTATCGTACATGTGAAGAATGCATTTCCACAGATAGTATCGTGAGGGAACTTACATCAGTATTAGAAGCAGATGATATGGAAGAAGTTTTATTTCAACAGTGGTTGACTACCGACCGTTGTAATTTGGAAACTATTATTAAACCTGCAGATGAGTTTGTTCAATATTTGACGGAAAAAGTTGAAAAGCTCATAACCCATGATTTTATTCATAAAGAGCAATCATCTTACCTAAGTAATAAAAAAAAATTCTCTTCAAAACGGTGAAATTTTAGTGATTTGCGACTTTTATGAAAATTATTCATTTATTATTCAAAACTCAGCACAGGGGTATCATTGGAACAATAATCAAGCTACGATACATCCTTTCGAAATTTACTACATAAAAGAAATCAAGTTGGAAAATTTAAGCTTTATTATTATTTCAGAAGTATTGACCCATGATACAATAGCAGTTCAATTATTTATATCAAAATTGTTAGATTTCATTAAACAATCTATTAGTTTCACAAAAATTACTTTCATGTCAGATAGAGCAGCGGCTCATTACAAAAATAAAAAGAATTTTGCCAGTTTGTGCAACTTCAAGTCCAAGTATGGATTGGAAGCAGAATGGCACTTCTTCGCAACGTCTCATGGGAAAGGCGCATGTGACGCAATTGGAGGAACTCTCAAACGAATGGCAAAGAGAGCAAGTCTTGCTCGAGATTATGGAAACACAATCACAACTCCACAAGAACTGTATGACTGGGCAGTTAAACAAACAGACACAAGCATAACAAAATTGAACTTCTGCTTCATATCAAATGATCAATACACAAAGATGTCCGATGAACTCAAGGAGCTGTTCAGTCATGTAAAAACTATACCTGGTACACAAAAATTTCATTGTTTTGTACCTATTTCTCAAAACATAATTTCTACTAAGCGATTTTCACATTCAAAGGAAACTCCGAAAAATTTCACTCTGTTTCCGATAGACTAATAATCAATGAAAAACTCAAATTATGTATGGAGAATTATAGGAAAATAAATTATGCACTAAACAAAAACACTAGAGTTTTCATTTATTAAAACACCATTCGAAATGCAGGAAAATCCTCTGTATTAGGCCCTTTCAAATGTTAGGCTAGATTTTTGTTTTAAGCACGCCCAGATTATCAAAAGGTCAAAATCTTTATGCTCATTAAGTTTCAACGGATTTTAATAAGGTTGTGCGCGTATTACTATTCGACTTTGAGTGAAACACCCTAAAAAAAAAATTAACATGAAAAAGTTGTTGTTCGAACAACTTTTTTTCCTTAAAAGCGTCCACTTTGCGATGTATGAAGAAAAGTTAGGTAATTATATTGCCTTTCATGAGAAAAAATATCAAGCAAATCTGAGGGGTACCATTTTTGGGAAAATGACTTTTAATTTTTAAATATATTTTTT